CACATCATAGTCACATGATAACTGCAATCACGTGTTTCCAGCTAATAAGTTCACGCGTTTCGCTGTTGTCAACTTCTGCTTTCTGCGGAAACTTTATCTTAAAAAGAACACATTTGTCTACAATAACGCACTTAGGTAAGCAAAATACACTTGATTTAAAAATACAAGTATAATTTAAGAATTATTTTTAATTATGAAAAACATCTTGAAGGATTGTAGTACTTAGATATCCTTACCTAACTATCAAATTTGAAATTTTATCTAAATTAGTAGCTCAACACAAAAAATACTTGTTGTTATACTAAATTAGTAGAACAAGTTCAAGTCTAATGTCAATTTTAAATTCAATGGAGAACACGTGATTGCATTTATCATGTGACCGTCATTAATTTTACCCATTAGAAATTGCATTTATAAATAACAAATTTACAAATGTTCGGGAAAAGATGCTTTAAGGATGATTCAAGTAAATGAAAGTTATTAAGAGAATTTTTTAACTTCATTACTGTTATTATGATTTTTTGCATGGATCTCTCTCTCTCTCTCTCTCTCTCTCTCTCAGACACACAATTCATACAAACATACTCAAAAACTCTGAATAGCTGCAATGCTTAGGCCTTAAGTATAGCCAGAGATCGACGTCAACTGCAATTCAAAAGGAAACTAATCTCCGATTTATTGGATCGTTCGCGCAGTCATTAAGCAGCACTTTGGGCATGGGCTTTTATGTTTCCTAAGGGGATCTTGAGAGGGTCTTCTGGATGATTCCCAGGATAGACCTCGTAGAAGTCGATAATCCAAAGTGGCATGCTCAAGTAGTTACATGAATGGCAGAAACACGAAATTGCAATTACCATAAAATTCTAACAATACAGTCCTCTTTCCTTTTGAGAATGAATCCTATCACATTTTAGCTTAATTTCGATTTCGTTTTATTTATCCGAAACTAAGATATTTATCATTTTTTAAATTTTCATTTATGGTTTCTTATTTTATACATCTTATTTTATTCTTTTATCAAGATAGCTAGTCCCCGAAAATATTGGAATGTAATTTTTTACCTGTTAAATCGCTTGAATAAAATAGTTTTTTCTTTATTTTCTTCAAAAGTAAAATTTTTATAAAAGTGATTAAAAATTTCTTTTGAATTTAATACATTTATTTCTAATTTTTATGGTTACAGTTGTAAGGATGAATTTCCTTGTAAATCTCGATTATGACCCAAATTCTAAGCTAGGGATTTTCCAATCTCAGCAGGAGTGTGTTTGGGGAATTTTAATTAAATATAGATAATTATACTGGTAAATTTGGAGTTTCAATTCCTTTTCAGACAATTTTTTTCATTTTTAGATATAAGTAAAAACTAATATACATATATATTAGTTTTTGAAAAGAGCAACTCAACAGTTAGAATAACCGCCACATTAGTTAATTTATCTTTTATAGTATTTATAGAATTTTCCATTTTTAACCAAAAATTGATTTTTGGAAACTGGTGTAGACAAAATTTGAATTCCCTCATAGTGATATCGCGCACGCGCGCTCAAGATTTTTTTTTTTTTTTTTTTTTATATCTTATTTCAATTCTGAAAAATGGATATTAAAAAAGAAAAAGCTTCGGTTCAAAAGTTTATATCCTGCATAAACATTAAAAAAAAATTAAATGCATAATTTTTATAAAATGGGTTCAGTTTCTTTTCTTTCAAAGAATGATAGTATTAAAATATAATTGTTATCCATTGGCGTAACGTACACCTCCACATGCTGGTGGTGGGGGCAGGACTTAAAGGGGCCCAAAGCCTGACTTACCCTAGCCTGACTGACGCTTTTGAGCTTGAGGTACAAAACCCGATTTTGAGGGAGGGAGGGGGCAAGTATTCTGCGTTACGCCACTGTTGTTATCGTAATTTTTTGTGACATAAAAAAGTTTATTCTAAAGCCAACTAGGATTAATGTTGCTTTAATTCAAATGTTTGAATAACAAACAGGTAAATGGTCAATTTACTCGATCGTTATTTGTAACAACTATTTTGTTAAATATTAAAACCAGTGCAAAAAATTGAATACATTTTGATTTAAATCATTAACCTTTTTCCGTATTATTATCAACAACATAAACTTAATTACTTTCTCAGCCTAAAGTTTTTTCGCAATTATGTTATATAATTACTTTTGACGACATAGACGGTGGAATATAACCCATGTATGTGTGTGTGGTCAACCAATCCAAGATTTGCAATTAAAATTCTCTAAGCTGTACGTTATTTGAATTGTAAAAATGATACAGAATTTCTCCTAAACATATCAAGAGAGGTATAGCATTCTAGAAATTAACTTTATGATTACTTGAACTATAAATAAAGTTTCCTTTTGAACATTTTTTGGCTTATTGAAGCATGCTTCCTTTTAAAAGCAAAAATTTCAATCTTCTATAACAGGGATGGCGAACCAGTGGCACGAGTGCCATTGATAGCGCGCGACACAATATTTTGGGCATGCCAGCAATCAAAATGGTTTGCGTTTTATTTCAAAATAACCAAGTTCACTTTGAAGTATTGCTAACAATCGCAAGTGATCGGTCGAGGGGCGGCGGGGAGCACACTGGTTTGTTATTGTCTTGCCTTAGTTACATCGTGGACTACAATTGTTGATGATGCAAAGTTTGTCTACGCATAGCATAGTCAATTTCATTGACACAACAGTATTTAAAATTTTATATGTGTTATATTTAGGATATTTGGCTGTTATTTAGCATGGCTAGTTCAGCAAAAGAACAAAAAGTGCAAGATAGTAAGCGTAACAGAGAATTTCATATTTGATGAATCTAGAAATATGGCATTATTAGTAAAAACGACTAAGAGGTGTGTGTTTTATGTTCTGGAATAGTGGTATGCAGAACATTGTCTGCAAAGTGGTATTTTGAAACAAATCCCAAATCCTCTTGTCAAAAAGTGAGCCACAGCCAAAATAATTAATTGCTTAAAAACAGTTTGGCAGATGACTCCAATTCAGCATGCGTTCTACTAAAAGTAACATGTTACAATCGTAATATAAGTTATTTGTCATCCAATCTGCACAACAACAGGAGTCATACTAATGTTTTCTTTAATTTAAATTACACGTATAACATTTACAACTATACATTGCAAAAGGTTTTTTTTTTTCGTAGTAAACAAAGAGTTTTGTGTGTTGTTAGTATTTAGTTTTATTATTTTCTCAATAATATCAAGTAAAAATTATTTGACAACACGTCTATACCTTATTAAACACTTCATTAGAAAAAAATGGCACGTTGATCCATAAAGGTTCCACTCCTGTTCTATACACACAGAAAAAGAAGAAAATAGTATGTTACTGAGTTTTAATTCCTTCGAATAAGAACAGAAACACATAAAAATTTCACCATTTAGAGAAACTCATATTGGGAAAGATATTTAGAATTCTTTAATTCCCCTCCAAGTATGCCACTAGATGACAGAATAGGCTATTGCACAAAACAATGCAAAGTTTAATCCCAATCCTGAGTTAAAAAAGAGAAATAGTTACCTGTACAAGCTTGAGCTTGATCCTGAGGACTTCATCGCTCTGGTTGTCGATGTCCGCTTTTAGCCGGATACTCTCTCCGCAGCAGTATGCTGACCTTTCAAGGTTGCTACGGACACTCACCACACCTTTACGACAGCAGAGGCAACAGGTTGCCCTTTGGTCAGCACCCATCAGTGGCTTCTGCAAAACCGAGTAAAAATATGATTAGTTTTACAAAATATGATAAACTTAAAAACTTTTTGGAAATTAAAGAATAAATGGTAGAGACCTAATATGAGATTCCTCAGCCAAAGGAAGCTATTGTTATTTATGAATATCTTATATCTAAAGGAGTCACTAATTAAGCTGAATAGAGTTCAGGAAGCAAGAGTAATAAGGTAAATAAAAATACAATTGCAAATTTTACTTACAATTAGGGAAATGTTAAAGAATCATACATCGAAAAAAAAGTACTTAGAAGGATAAATATTTGAAAACTATTAAAATATGAAGAGACAGTAAAGCAGTTGACATAAAAGTCAGTTAATTTGGAGGATATCTATCTCTCCAAAGAAATACTAACATGCTTTGAAATTCTTCTTTAAAAAAAGATATGTAAAATAATATAGACTTTTAAACAGAATTTAATTAAATTTGGTTTATGTGCATATCAAGACAATCACCTAATCTTTGTGAAAGGTTTCAATCAGTTCTTTTTAATTTGAGTTTTTCGAAATGAAATTGGATTTTATAGAAATATTAACCATTAATTTATCACAGAATTAAGCTCAAGACAACTTTAAAAAAGATATTTCACACTCGCCTTATACGATACATCTTTAAAAAAAAAGATTAAAATCTAAATTGTTAAAAATTTTGCGATTAGTCGGCATTATACACATGTTCACAGTAATATTGATTCATTTATTTTTTGAAAAATGACATATTTGATTCTTGCATTGCTTAAATTTATTGACAACGTTTTCCCTTTTTTTACATGTAAATTATAACTCAAAAGTACAAACAACAACAAAATTATAATACGTTGATCATCATATCGTCATTATATAGGCAAATTTCATAATGAAAACAATAGTTTTTTAAAGAAATTTTTAAAATATGAATAATGATTATATATATATATATATTTAATTATTTGGATAGCAATTTTTCCTTTTCATTACTTTCTGTATTGGCATAAAATTTACCAGTTTGCTTAAGAAATGTTGTAAAATCTTGATCCATTCTTCGAGAAATCTTTTTGAAATTATTACTTGGAAACCTTATGTTTTTCTCAATTCCAAATATTAGTTCCCACTCTACATTTTTTTAAAATTTGTAGTAGATGACACTTGACGTTAGTACAGTTTTTTCAAATACTCTCTAATTTATGAATTAAATTAAAAAATGAATAAGTAGTAACAAACAAAAATAATAGTTCAACAGCATATATAGAAAGGAAAATCGTTCGTTGTGTTCCTGTAGCGCAAGATATAGTGCGTTGGACTTCCAATCCAAAGATTGTGGGTTCGAATCCCACCTGGGATGGTCTAGTTTCTGAGAATGTGACTCCTTTGTTACTATATTATTTTATTAGAATAATTTATTGAATTAATGAATAAATAGTAACAAAAACAAAAAAATAGTCCAACATCCTATCTAGAAAGGAAAATAGCTTTATGTTTTATATCTTTATATTGTGATTTTGTCATGTGTATATGCATATTTATATTAATTGTAATTATTTAATAAATTGTAACTATAAAATAAAATTTTTCTTTGTTGACCTAAGTAGGAAATGTCTTAATTTTTTTTATATATTACTTGTTTTATTTCAATTACTTTTGTGTTCACAAAACTCTATTCCCAATTATTAGGTTTTAAATTTTAATCGTTTTTTTAAACAAAGCAAACATTCTTATTCATTATATTTTCAATAAAGTGAAGTTTTTTTTTCAATTCCTACTATTAGCTCACGATTTCTATATATATATATTTATTTATTTATCTTTGTGGAATTTTCAATAGTTAATAAATTTTAAAATGCTCAATTGAGCTGTAATTTTACATACATGATTGTTTTGGATGACAATAAAATGATTTAATTATAATTAATAAAAATTAATTGATTAAAACTAATTATATAAATAATTACAAATACAGCCACATTGGCATCATTTTTAGCGACATAGCGACCCTTTTGGCGAGGGCTTTTTTTAAAAAAAGTTTTTTTCTCTTTTTTTAAAGCATTCAGTTAAACTGAAATTTTATATACACGATTGTTTTGGATGACAATACGATACTTTAATGATAATTAATAAAAATTAATTAACACTTAATGTTGTGATTCTGTCCTATGTATATACATATTTATATTAATTGTAACTATTTAATAAAACGTAGCTAAAATAAAATTTTTCTTTGTTGATCTTAGTAGGAATTTACTTGAAAAATTCTTTTTTATATTACTTGTTAAAAACCAAGTTGTTCAGGTTTTCACCTCGCGCATAAAAATAATGTAAATCAATAATATTAAATTTACTCTCGTCAGAAAATGAAATAGCTTTTAAAACACTAAGAGCGATCGGCAAATATTAATTTACTAATTCTCTTTCCAAACTTCAATTTTCCAATATAATAGGAACCTTTTTATACTTTTGAAAATTTTCCTTTTTTCAAATGAGAAATTTCTATTTCCGCTAAAGATAGTTTTTTTTTTTACTTGAAATGAAAGGCTTATTTTTACTAAAGATATTCTTTTATTTCTTATAAATATTGCTCTTCCTCAAAACTCATCAAGTGTTTCGCTATTTACTAATATTTTTTTCAAGTTGTTTGAGAGATATTTCTAATATATAAACTTTAGTGTCCTCATTCTAGAATTCTTCTTTATTTTTCTCAAAACTTGTGATTCATCTCTGTCAACTTATTATTTTTTTTAAAGAGAGTTGCATTTTATTTTTCTAAACGTACGTTTTCTTTACCTTTGCACATCTCTGTTATATCTATCGAATAACTGGTCGACTTTTTGCAATATTTTCTTTATTTAGTTGAAATGTTTTTCATCTTTATTGCGTTTTATAAGACGATATTAGGAAGTTGGAGGAGGGGGGTGGGAGTCCATATAAAAGAAAATTTCCTAGAAAATTTATTTCATTTTTAGAAATCTCTTTATACACAAGTTAACTCAAAAGTTATTCTTAGTACGTCTAAAAACAAATAGTGCAGTGGCATTAGTTTCATTGGAAGATTAGCTTATGGTAGACATAATCCACCTTTCTTCAGGAATTTCGAGTTTTTCAAATGATTTCCTCTTAATTTATAGATTTAACCTTGTCATGTACTGGGGCAAAACAATTTTAACACATTGCAGTTAATAACTTTACACAACTTCTGTTATTATATTATATTTTTTATCTCTTTAATTATTCTCTCCATTCCAAACAGAATCCCCCCCATGTAACCTTAAATTTATAGTAGAGTGGATTATCAGTCATTTTTTACTCGCGCGAAGGTTCTGCTGAAAAAGTTTGAGATAATAATTAAATTAACTATGTTGATTTAATTGCAAGAAAGAAGATGAAAATTATTCCAATGTAATCAGTTTTTTTTAAATTTTTTTTTTTATCATTGTGATATTTCAGTTCAATGAAGTTTTTTGCTAAAATTCCACAAGTAACGTGCTATAACAAAATGATTCTATGGTTCTTCTACAACAGTGATTCCCATAGGGGTCTATGACGACCTGCAAGGGCTCCAAGTCAGCGACAAAATAATTTGGGGGTACATGATGTGTAAATGGAGGTCTACGATAGTGGCTTTCATTAAACCAGATCGTGACTAATATTAAAAGGAAATTTAATTAAGTAGAAACCAGACTTACCTATTTAACAGATTTATTTACTAAATTTAATTAGGTTAATTTGCAGTTACAAGGTGACTGCATAAATTTTATTAAAACAAGGACCACATTTTAGCCTTTCTTGTGCAAGAATTAAGCTTAAGGAGTATAATTTTGCACGTCACCAACATTTCAATGCCCTTTTTTTTAGATTTTGAAATTAGGTTTAAGAATGCTTTGACTATCGTAATACAACAGTAGACAATAAATTCATATGGTTACTTTAAAAAGAAAAATGTCTGATTACAAGAATTAGGCCCTAGAAATAGGCACCAACGAATATCTTAAAGTAAAGTTTAGAAACGGATGTCAACAATTTTGACTTTAAAAAGATATATCTGTTATTTATTCCATATTACGGAATATTTTGAGAAAGTTTTAATTGTTTTTCCGAGTGAGAAGGAGTTTCAGTGCGCTTTCCAATTCCCAAAACAAAATAAGAAAGAAGAAAAGACTGGGCACTATTAACCGAGGAGATATTTAGGGTTAAACCTGATAAGATTGATGCCAAATGTTGAAAATTTTTGTTATTGTATCCCCAAATTCATCCCTCCCACTAAAGGTATTTGTTTGTTGCACAGTTATTTTATGCATTAATTAAATTTTGATTTAATTAATTAACATGTGTTTTCTTAAGTTTTAAACACTACAGTTAAAAATTGTAATCTTTTAAAGTAAGTAGTAATAAGTAAGTGCTGTCAAAAACACATTTAAGTTGATAAATTTGCAAAAGTTTAATATTAGGTAAGTATGGGGTCTACTCCAAATTAAAAAACCTTTCAAGAGGTCTATGAAGCAAAAAAAGTTTGGGAACCTCTGTTCTACAACGCTTTGTCAAAACATGCCATTCTTTCTTATTTTATTTGTTTATTTGTTAATACGGATGAATTATGACAAGAGCATTTTGGTTTCATATTTTAATCATAGAAAAAAGTTTTACTAAGAATTTCTTGACACATCACCGGAACTCGATTAAAAAAATGGAATCTACTCTATGAAACAAAATGTCGAGTATTTCAGCTTATGCGCAGTACTTTGTATAAAATAACCGAACAATCTATTCATTTAAAAAAATGACGTACATCCACTTAATGGTCATCTTTACTCATTGTCAAAGAACATTGTGTGTGCAGTATGCTTAAGGAATAATTATCAGGAGACGATAGCAAAAATATTTTAAATAACAAATTTCAAAATATGCTTTAAATGTTGCCACAAATTATGTTTCTTTCAGTAAAAGGGCTTAAAATTTGCTTCATGGAGGAGTTAATTTTTGAATAACAGTTAACATATTTTTGCATCTTGGTTTATTTCTTAGCTGTGTAAATATTTTAATTAAGACGAAATATAAAAAGTAGTACAAGAAATAAGAAATAGAGACCTATAAAATAAAGCGATTGTTCATTAAAATTTAGACTCGTATTAATTTCCACAATATATTTACAATATTAATGTTATATATAAGCGATATTGTATATGACAACACACACACAAAAGTTGCAAAGTCCTCATCCTGATATGTCCTCCTCCAATGACACTAATCTGAAGAAATTTACCATCATTTACATTACATTATCTTCTGAAATTTTATTATTCTTTAAAAAATTCAAAGTCAAAAGTGAAGTTAATTTCTTTTCTTATCTCTTTTAAAATTTTAAACAGGCCTTTAGAGTTCCAGAAAAAAAAAGGATGTCGCTGTTTTTTTGACAATTATAAATATTTTTTCAGTTTTTATTTTATTTTTAGCGAATCAGAACTCGTAGAAAATTATAACAATTGATATCGAGCACTCCATGCTTTTACCACAATGACTAATTTTGTCGTTCATCATTTTATTCTTATATAAAGAATTATTTTTTTTTACTTTTTAGTTCGATTAACCGTAAAAACGTGTTTTTTAGTTTTTTTACACTATAATTTATTACAAATAAAGTTACATTCAATCGTGCAGTTACGTTCAATGCACGCAATTCATATGTGTGGGCTTACCACAACCCTTTTAGTACGAGATGTTCTACTGCGCTACATCATTTTGTAGTAGATGTGCGAGCTGAAATCATTGGTGACTGTTTGTTGAGACCTTACTTGCTACCTCCCCTATTGGAGAACCACCTAATCTCTTTCCCGAGACTGTGTTACCTACTGTCCTAGACACTCTTCCTGGGTATATCCGCCGAGATATGTGGTTTCAACATGAAGGGACTCCAGCTCACAGCACAATTTTTGTGCGTGATTACCTGAACCGAGCATTCAGAGATCGGCAGAGGTAAGCAGATAGTGTAACATTTCCCGCCTCCCAGCTGTGAATCGGCTTCTTTGTGGAAATAATCATCACACGTGCATTTCGCAGCTACATTTTGAAAGTTATTGCGTGGCCCCACCTTGGACCTTCCCAGCAATATTTGACACCATAAGGGACTCTTTTCCCGCCACCAGTACGATGTAACTAGATACTAAAAAGGAGCCAGCCCCTGATCCCCGAAGCGAGAGAAGCAGAGAGAGGGAGAGATGATTTGAATCTTCGAACTGAGCAGACCTCGATAAGAACTCCCCTCTCACAAACCACATCATTTGAACTCTAATAATCTAATTTTAGTAAATTTAATAACTTCAATATAAAATCTATAAATAATTGCTGTTACGTCAA